GATAAACAAGGGGGGGGGCACTTAGACTTACCCACGTGGGACGGTATCGCTCGCCGGTTTCCGGGTTGTCTTCCCAATCGACGAGATATTCAATATTCGAGCCGTTTCGCCTTTCTTGTAGGATATCCTTAATGATGTACCATTCCTCCTTTGGCTGTTCCTTGTGCTTCTTTGGGTTTTTGGAGCTGCGGCGCGAGTCCCTCGGCATTGACGAGTCGCGATCCACCTCAGCAGAGGTGGTGTGTTGTTTTGGAGGTGCTCGTTGGCGCGGCGGATCGGGCTGGCGTATGCGGTTTCGGGTCCATAAGTATCGCTGATCTCGGGCAGATGCGCGCGTGAGGTTGCGATATGTCCGAGCAAAGTCGCTAGAAAGGACCTACACAGGTCGCACGCGAGGCTACCGTTGCTATCGCAGCTCGTGAAGCTCAAGCCCAAGCTGGGAAGACCACTGCGGGTCCACCTGCAGCCTGCCGTGGCTTGTGCACGAGCCACAGATTCAGCCAATCAAATGTCGCCGACAGCTCACTCAGGATGGCAGTGGTTGACGCCGTCTATCAATGTCTCTAGCACAACTGCGACAGCTGTAGGTCCGAAAGTTTGGTGGAAGAGTAGTGTGCGAGGAAAGGCAATGGCTGGCATCTGGGAAAGTGTGGCCTGGCGGGACGTCGCATATAGTACCTGTTGGTCCGTCGGGCCTTGAAAGCGTTCAAGCTCTCGGCCCCGACACCTGCAGGCAAACACATCATGGCAACAGCCTCGTCACAAAGAACCTCGACTCTAGGGAGAACACTCATTAAACCATTCATCAAGTCCACTAGCGGTACCGGTGCTACATGTGCTCCGAGGCTCCCATTTACGGACCAGTCGACCCGCAGACTCCCTTCTTCATGACAACAGCGCTGAATTTTGATCGTCGTAGATATCTCATTCCGTGAACCACATCAAGTCTCTTTTTACTTGTGATATACACGAGTCCCTGGTGACTCCTTTTACCCCGCGCCGCGATGAAATCCAGAATAAACTTTTTTGGTTCGTGGCGCCGTTCATACGTAGCCCTTGCGCGCGCCCTGGAAGAAGAAGCGAACGATAAACACCTGCAGAGCTCCCATAAGCACGATAAGGGCGCACTGGATCATGCTGAAGTTGATGATGCGGCCTTCGGTGCTGCGGACAGTGCTGAAGTTGCGGTTCTCTCTGGTGCGGAAGTACTTCTGGCCTCTCGAGATGGTCGAGAGCTGGCCGGAGAGCTTGAAGATGGTCTCCTCGAGGGTGGAGTGCTGTTCGGGAGAGGCACCCTGCTTGGCGGGAAGCTGAGCGCGAACCTCGTTCTCGACCTGGATTGGCATGGGTCAGTAGAGCTTGGGTTGGGAGTTATTCGGGAACGTACGGCAATCTCAAAGTCGACAAACTTCTCGGCAAAGGTACTCATCTCGTTGTTGAAGCAGAACTCGTAGTCGCCCATCTGCTGGGCCGTGAAGACAAAGTCGCCCTGGCGCTCCTTGGCTCCATCGAGGATCATCTTGTTGCCCGGGCCGGTGACGGTGTAGTCGACATCGAAAGAACCACCAGATTGGACCTGTTACGCATCGCTGTTAGCCTGATGCAGCACTTTGAAGTGGTGGTGAACGCACGGCAAAGTAAAAGGCAATCTTCTCGTTATCCTTCTGGGTCTTGGCGTAGAAGCAGGCCTTCTCGTTGGCGTGGAGCTTGTAGGTCAATGCCGTGGCAGCGACCTGGGAAACGAAGCAGGCGAAAAGCCCGCAGGCAATGGCGGACACCCTCATGATGTGTTGTTGCGTGGGGAGAGTCCTGGGTGGGCGCGTGAGGGTATCTCTCGTCGACTCGTGAAGCAGGGGATTCTGGACAAGCTGTCGCCAAAAGGGTCACTTAGAACGGGCCACGATTGAAAGTTCGGCGCGGAAAATTGGCGCCGCTACGCCCCTTGGGAGCACGCACGGGCCAGCGGCAGCGCTGCGGGAGAGCAAGGTGGCACCTTTGCACCTCCAGTCCACTGTCCCCACAGCAGCAACAGCTCCCTCACCAGCCACGCTCACATGCAACGGGAGGTGGCTTGTTATCGGTGTTTCAGCGCGTACGGGGCATATCATCAATCAGTGACCTCATCTCTTCAGAAGTCAGCTCAGCTGTCACGTCACGTCTGGCAGAGCTTCCACCTCCCTCTGGCAGGGCAGGTCCACGGAGTACCACCTGCACATTCTATCAAACCTTCTTCCATTGTCTCGTCCTTTCTCTTCAATACCCAGCTGCAAGGGGAGCAGCTCTTGCCTTTTTTTCTTTCGTAGACGATCCCTGCAAACTATTTAATTCCACTATTCCTCCACCAGTTCAATCTTTCGCATCTACAACCTGCAAGTTCCAACATCTACCCACTACGGAGCTCTCGGCGTCATGGCGGTTCAGACGCGCATCGCCACCACATCCTCAATCGCGTTGAGAGCGGTCTCGTACCTCTTTCTGCGATGGGTAGGTTCTTCAACTTTGTCTTTTAACAATTGGTCGCTAATCATTGGATGCAACTCTAGTTCCCCGGCCCAGTAAGTTCCACTTATTCCCGAGCGTTTGAATGTCCAGGCTTGGCGCATCGTGCTGATCATGGTTGGTCTAGGCTGCTGTGCCCATGAGCATATTCGCACTCTTTGCAGTCTTTGTGCCTTCCTTCGTATCTGGGTACATTAATGAGCCAAAGTACGATGTCGTGGAGGACGACGTGGACGTGACGGTCAAAGAGACTGTTACCGAGGATGTCGGCGGCGCCACCAACGGCCATGTCGTTGCTGAAGAGATCCGGGTTGAAGAGACTATCGTCGTTACAGAAAAGTCCAGTCCACTAAAGACGCTCCTGGCGGGAACACCGAGCTCGACCAGCCCTATTCTTTCCATCTTGACATTCCTGATCAACTTGGCCTTGGTCGCAATGACGGCCGACTTCTTATTCCGCGTTCGACAGTACCATCCGGTCGACGACCTCTCCTTTGTGCGTCTTGGCTATGTCTCTCCGACAGAGGCAAAATTCGTCATTCGCGAACCCGACCAGGCCAAGATGCCCGTTACGCTCGAGATTCACATCAAGGACCCGCAGCCACCCTTTGACAACCCCATGTGGCAGCTTGGTGGCGGGCTGAGATTCACCGACAACACGACCGACTTTGCGACAACCTTGACCGTGCCCCTGAAGCACTCCCAGCAGAGAGTTTATGAGTGGCGCACGTCCAACAACCACAGCGGCGAGTTCGTGGCCCCGCCTAGAGCTGGGCAGATGTCGACCTTTAACGACAACAAGTTCACCTTCTTGTCGACTTCGTGCATCCTGCCACGCTTTCCGTATAACCCCTTGGAGCACGCCCTGGCGATTCCCGGCATGCGCCATTTGGCGAGGGTCTTACCTAGTCTGCAGGCGCAATTCATGCTCTTCTTGGGCGATTTCATCTACATTGACGTACCCAAACGCCAGGGCAAGAATGAGGAGGACTACCGCCAAAAGTACCGTCACGTCTACGCCTCGCCGGACTGGGCACCCGTAGGACAGAACCTCAGCTGGATTCACGTTCTTGATGACCATGAAATCGGCAACGACTGGTCGTCAAACACCACTGGCGTGTACCGGGCCGCAATCGAGCCGTGGCACCACTACCAGGAGCTGGCCAACCCGCCTCCCGCTCGCGTTGCCGGGACCACAAACCTCCGCAGACAGGGCGCCACCTACTTTGAGTTTGTCCAGGGCCCCGCGAGCTTCTTCATGCTCGACACGCGCTCGTACCGATCCGACAATGACGTTCCTTCCGACAGCCCGGAGAAGACGATGCTGGGTGCTGAGCAGCTGGAGGACTTCCTCGCCTGGCTGAACCGGCCTGAGCCCAAGGGGGTCAAATGGAAGATTGTTGCCTCGTCGATTCCCCTGACCAAGAACTGGCCCATCAACCGCAAGGATACGTGGGGAGGTTTCCTGGTGGAGCGTCGCAAGATTTTGGAGGCCATGTGGGATGCTGGCGCCAGGGGCGTTGGTGTTGTCGTCGTCTCTGGCGATCGCCACGAGTTTGCGGCCACCAAGTTTCCCCCTCCCGCCGATGGAAGATGGCCTGAGAGCGCCGCCGCATACGAGTTCTCGTGCAGTCCGCTGAACCAATTTGCATCACCGTTGCCAAGCTACAGACAGACCGACAACGAGGATGTGTCTCTCAAGTAAGTGCAGTCGCAGAACATTCAAGGTACGATACTAACAGGCATAGGTACATCCACTCTGGCAACTCCAAGTTTGGCTCTTTGACCATTGAGAACCTAGCGGAGGGCGAGCAGAGCTCTCTCAAGTACAACCTATACATTGACGGCGAGATCGTTTGGAACACGATCATCCTGTCACCCCCGGTCGAAAAGGCCCCCAGCTCGTTTTGGGATAAGTTGAAGGGAAACTAGGATAGACGGGTAGATAAAGGTGATATGGTCAGCATCAGAATTTGAATCACACGTTATTGCAAGCAAGGCATTGCAGTTCGCTCCCCGTTTCGTTCCCAGCGCCGGTTTTCATCCGCACCGGGTGTACACATCAGAGGACTGTTGCTCATCTTTCGTCCACCATCGTGTAAGCCCCACCGGTGCTGTCGTAGACTTTGTTCACAGGAACTTCGAATTCCTCGCATCATCACCGCTGGCCAATCGCAGGGGCAACGTTTGGCCAACACCGGCATGCATCCTGCGTTGCGCTACGGCACCCCCTCTCCCGGACGATGTTGTCCAGCCCCCGGGAATAAGAGACCAGATGACGGTCTGCTACGCCAACTCCTCAATGACAATCGGATTGCCTCACACAAGTGCGGAGAAGCAACACCTGCATGAGCTCCAAGCCGAGATAACATCACCTACCCCATCGAATCAATGAACCTGTCGCAGACCAAACATAACCAAGCTTGGAGCACTTCCAAATCCTGCAGAACTTCAGACTTGAAAGATAGGCGAAAAGAGAAAGAAAAAAAAAGACCAGAGAAATGGCAATGAAGCGCCTCCAACAGCTCGGCAACCAGCTCACGCAGACCTCTCCTAAACCAGACGAAGAGACAATGGCCCCCGCAGACTCCAAATTCGCCCTCGACGAAAACGGCATCCCGCCGTTCGAGTCGCTGCCCCTCGGCAAAGACGACCCGCGCTTCTCGGCCTGGGGCCTCTACGGCGACAAGGACGAGCTGGGGACGCTGAACAGGTTGACGGACGAGCGCGTCGCTGCTGCTGCGAGGGAGGAGATTAAGACGGGCGCGAGGTAAACCTGACCATCTGAGCACATCGCCATCATCGTCCTCCTCCACGTGAAGTCCACAATACCCAAACCTTGAACCATGTGAAGAAAAGGGGATTCATGAGATGCGAGATGATGGAATCTTGGGGGGGAAAAAAACTGACGGGACCGCACAGAGTCTCCCTCAACTGGCCCCTGACAGCCCAATCCGCCCCCTTCTTCAACCGCCGCGCCTTCCACCACGACCTCTACCGCAAGCACCCGCGCTTCGTAAACGACGACGAGTGGACCTTCAACTCGCAGTCGTCGTCGCAGTGGGACGGCCTCCGGCACTTTGGGTACCAAAAGGAAGAAAAGTTCTACAACGGCGTCTCCATGGACGAGGTCCACGCCGTGGACGAGGAGGGGAGGCGGTCGACTGTGAATGGGATCCAAGGTAACCATCTCTCTCAATCTCCCCTGCTCTCCCGATTGCTTCTTCCGTTTAGCTCTGTCGAGCGTCGAGTCTACCCCCGTGCGCCTACCACGGTGTGCTTGGGTTCCAACAGTGTGCTGACAACCTAGGAAAGCCTGGCAGAAACACGGCATCGTCGGCAGAGGCATCCTCGTAGACTACCACACCTGACGCCTCGAGCAAAACATGCCTTACGACCCCTTTGCGCGCGACTCCATCCCCGTCGCGGATCTCCAGGCCTGCCTCAAGGCGCAGGGCACCGAGATCAAATTTGGTGACATACTCATCACCCGTACAGGTATCTCCCTCCTCTCTCCCTCTCTCTCTCTCTTTTCTGTTTTGTCTCCTCTCGCCCCCTGTCCCCATACCACGTCCCTCTCTTCCCACATCACAACTCTCTCACGAGAACATGACTTAAACAACAAAACGACAGGCTTCACAGCAACACACGCCTCCCTCCCCCCCTCAACCCTGTCCGACCACCTCGCCGCCAGCCCGCAAACCTTCTCCGGCGTAGCCCAATCCGAAGAGACCCTCCGCTGGGTCTGGTCCAACTTCTCCGCCGTGGCAGGCGACCAGCCGTCCTTCGAGTGCTGGCCCCACCGCGACCCGAAGCACTGGATGCACGAGGTCCTCCTCGCCGGCTGGGGCATGCCCGTCGGCGAGCTCTTCGACCTGGAAGCGCTGGCGGCGCAGTGTAAGCGCGAAAAGAGGTGGAGCTTCTTCGTCGTGAGCGAGCCGTGCAATGTCCCCGGCGGTGTTGCGAGGTGAGATCAAGAGTACCCCGTTTGACTTGGATTTGTTGAAGTCTGGTTTGCGTCTTGGCTAACGGATCGTATAGCCCACCCAATATTCTTGCCATCTTTTGAAAGTCTGGTTTCCCCAGTTTCCCTGGTCCTCTGAGACACCGTATACAAAACTGCCAAATGCAAGCGAATGTAAAACACTTCGAGGAACATGAGGTTTAGTATCTATCACCAGCTTGGAGAAGATTGCCGGGGTCCTGTGGTAAAATAATCAACATGGTCAGCCAAAACCCCAGACTTACGCTGTCAAGCCTCCATCATGTAACCTACACTGTACACACGATAGCCTACGGTTTAGCACATAATCAAGAACACGCCCCCAACACGCCCCCATAGACCCTCGTGAAGTTGAAATGCTTTAATTGGATTCGTATGCCAGCTTTCCTAGCTGAGCTAATTTGTTGAAACAAACCAAGCCTTGACGCCCTAGTGTGCTATCATCCGCCGCGGGCCTTCTATCGCCAACACCTCTACCCCAAGTAATCGCCGTCTCATCCCTTGTGACTCTTACGGTCGCTGCTAATGTGTCAGTCAAAGAAACTTCAAGGGGCGGTGCACCACAACTCACGTGCTCAATCTCCTAGACAGTTGCTGCAGCTTCTTGTCATTGGCCGCATCCTCGGCCGCCTTCTCCAACGCCTGCTTCCGGTCCTCATCTTGCTGCTTCACAACCTCGTCGTGGCTGGGTGGAAGTCTCTCGTTCTGCAAATCAACCTTGCGAGCATCCTCGAATGTGTTGATGGCGTTCTTGATACCCTCGGCGCCTAGCATCAGGGTACCGGCAGGCAATCTGCCACCGGAGACGGTCTTCAACTCAGTGACACGCTCCGACTCTTCGCGCAACACCTGGAATACACGCGAGAGACGGCCAATGGCCAGAATCTTGTTCTTGATAGCCCGTCTCTTGTACTCGATCGACTCGGGATCCTGCGAGGCGCCGGAGAGGGGCGGCGACATGGGGCCGGGGGATGTGGACGACGGGGTGGCGTCCTCCTTGAGCTCCTCCTCTGAGCACGTGCTGAGGATGGCGATGAGCATATCGGTAATCTTTTCACCGACAAAGGGGAGCGACCAGGTGAAGACGTCCATGAAGTTGGGCAGCCAGTAGGGGTGAGGCGTGCAGTTGAACTGGCGAATGTTCATGACGTTGTTCTCGTACTTTAGCACGGCAGCCTTGTTGTTGTAGACGTCGAGGTAATTCGGCGCGGAGAAGATGGTCATGACACTGGGGAAACCCGTGGTGCGAGTCTTACGGTACATGCGGTAGCCGGCGTCTTGCGCCTCGTGGGCACGAATGACGGAAAGGAGGTTGTTCTTCTCGAGGAATGCGCATGCGGCGGGGTATGAGAAGAAGTAGGAGCATCCGCGGACGTGGTTGTGCAAAAAGTAGTCGCTCGTCTTTTCTTGGCCAAAGTCCTCGAGAGGGTCGGCCCAGAGGATGTCGCACATGAGGCCCTGGGTTGGGGGCTCGCGGAAACGGTCAATCTGCGAGGTACATCGTTAGCTACGAGCCTCGTACAGAGGCGAGTGTATACTCACGCTGCGCAAGTCGTCGAGAGTGTGAAGCTCCGGGCTCAGGCCACCGTGGATGCACAGGAACTGCTTGTTCATGACGGCAGCCAGGGGCAGGCAGCAGAAGGACTCCATGCAGGCCTCGTAGATGGCCTCGGAGTACTTGTGCTTGCACTCGAGCTTGAAGGTGAAGTAGTCGGTCAAGTGGCGACACTCGTGGTTGCCGCGAAGCAGCCACAGAGTCTTGGGGTAGTGGATCTTCAAGCACCAGAGATACAGGACGCACTCGATGGAGAAGTAGCCTCTGTCGACGTAGTCGCCGAGGAAGAGATAGCGCGTCTCGGAGGGGTCGCCTCCGACTTCGAACAGCTTCATGAGGTCGTAGTACTGGCCGTGGACGTCACCGCAGACGGTGATGGGCGCATCCATCTCGAGCAGGTTGGGCTCAGCGCGCAGGACCTCGGTACAGGTCTTGAGGATCCATAGAGCCTGCTCCTCGGTCAAGCGACCCTCGCGGTAGAAGTGCTGCTTGAGGAAGTTGATGTTGGGCTTTGTGTGGGTTTCGTCCTCGAAGAACTGCTCGTCAGAGGGCGTGAACATGGCGGGGGCCTGGACGTCTGTGGCAAGAAATCAAGTTAGCGCTGAGGTCACTGGGTTGCGTGGAGACAAGCTCCAGACGAAGACATTCGCAGCGATGACGGCGAGGCTGGCGGAGGCAACGCAATAGCGGGAGCATCAAGCGTACCTTTGCAGACTCGCTCCATGGTGTTGACCTGGGTGCCATCTTCCATGGTATGAATGGTAAAATCAATCTCGGGCAGGGGCTTCTTCTCGCGAATGGCGCGGATGGCATTGTCCACCTGCTGCTGGGTGCGGCTGCCCTCGCCAGGCGTGCTGGCTCCCTCGGGGTCCATGATTGCTGATGATGTGTGTGAAGATTGAAGCGGCGAAATCGAAAGGGGGTACTAATCGGCCGGGGGGTATCTATGATGGATACGAGGGTACTCGGATGGCAGAGAAACAGAGCGGTGAAGGGGAACGGTTAGGCGAGAACCAGCTCTGGATCAAGTCGCGATGGGAAAAGGGGGCCTGCAAAGAGGCGAGCTGGGTGTGGAGCGAGGTCGTTGGGCACTAGACGGCAAGAGACGAGGCCAGGCTTTGCGATGCGATGCGAGGGGTAAAAATTGAGGTGAGAAAGATAGGGCTGAGAAGGGGGAGTTGGGTGAAGGGAATTGGGACGGATGGGATGCACTTGGCCAGGTCTGTTCAGTCCAGTCCAGTGTTTGGAACCTAAAGGACCAGTCGTCGTCAGTCTCCAGTTTCTGGCTCGCTACGCAGGCGGGCACTTTACGAACGCTAAGTACTAAGGTACGGGAGGCGCCCTCCATTGATCAGTGATGCGGCATGCCAATCCAGGGCGTTCGGGGTGCTGGTGCTATCGCTCAGGTAAGCTGAGAGCTGGGGAACACGCACACCTCCATTGGATAGGTCACCTCAGATGAATTGGCAGGTGGCAGACGCCAAATGCCCGCGGACGGCGGGACAATGAAGCTGCGTGTACATCCCACCTGGCATCGGTTTGGGTGAGGAGACAAGTACCTCAACTGACCCCTCTCTTTCGTGGCGAGAGGCAGCCACAGGCGCCCACCTCAGTTGCCTTTTCTGCCCCTTCCCCCCACTTCCTTCCACCAAAGTTGTACCGCAGTACATCAAGGAAGAACGGTACGTACCTGCTTCAGATGATGCTTCGCAGCTTCTTACGCAGTAGACCCTTTTTCTTCCCTTCCATTTCCCCTCCCCCTCCTCCATAGCACCACAGCAAAAAGCACCAGCACTTTTTCCACTTCGCTTCGCCTCCAATTGCAGTGCACGCAGCCTGCAGCACGGTTCACCTCGGACTTGGCCAGCCAAAGATGGGAATATCACGACGCGTATTGGACGCAACCCGCTCGCCTGCCCCTCCTCCGCGTTTTCTCACCACACGGACACGGGCCCAATTGTCTTAGAGTCTGTCATCATTCGCAGCCCTCTGTGCTGGCCTGCGTTCTACCTCTATCCAGTCTATCGGCTGCACGTCTGTCTACTAGCATGGCGGCATGGCATCCCTGAGACTCGGCCGTGTAGCTGCACCATTCGAGCCAATGACCTTGATACGCAAGCAAGCTCCGGCTCGTCTTATCGGCTGATCAAGCAGCCCCCGAAACCCCTTGCTCGCCGGCCGTTCTTTCCTCCAGCTCCGCCACCGCACTCTTCTTTCTCTACGGCGTCATCATGGGTATCATTCTCTTCCGCCTCTTACGGCAAGCAGTAACCTCCGTCAACGACAAGATCGGATCCCGTGGTGTACGAGGCGGCATCCGATGCCAGGTACAAGTATGCGCCCTTGAGCTCGCTGGGTTCTCCCTCGCGTCTGTTGTTCAAGTCAGCCTACAGACTCACACATGATGCATCTCTGCAACTCACCCCATTGGCGTCTTGTTCCTCCACTGCTTCTTGGACTCTTCGTCGACGAAAGCGGTAATCTCGGTCTTGATGTATCCGGGCGATACCGTGTTGACGCGGGCAAAATCGACCCATTCAACAGCCAAGCTCTTGCCTGTGCACTAGTCAGTCCCGTTTAATTCCTCCACAACTTTAGCACTTACAGAGGTGAACGACGGCCGCCTTGGACGCGTTGTACACGGCTTGCGCCTGGGGGATGTTGACAACGTGAGCGCTCATGCTAGCGGTAGCAATAAAGCTACCAGTCGTGAAGCCTTCGAGCTTCTTGCCGTCGAGCGTTGTGCCCTCCTTCTTTTGCCTGCGGAAGTGCTCGCCAGCAACTTGAGCGCAGTACACGGTGCCATTGACGTTGACGGCCATGACCCTGTCGGCAACGTCCATGGGCCCGTCAATCAAAGGACCCTCTTCCCATGCGATGCCCGAGTTGGCGACAAAGATGTCGAGGCGGCCGTTGAACTCGGACACAATCTGCTGGATCGACTCCTGGATGGCTTGGTGGGAGGTGACGTTCACCGGGTACGCCTTGCCTGCGGAATGGTTAGCAACACGGCTAGGACATCTTTCTATAGCGCCTCCACGCACACTTGACGCCGTACTCCTTCTCAATCTCAGCAGCACGGTCCAGGGCCTTTTTGTTGCTGTTGTACCAGATGGCGACATTGGAACCCGCCTCGGCGTAGGCATGGGCAATCTGCAAGCCAATGCCAGCACCAGCTCCAGAGACAATGGCCGTCTTGCCCTTGAGAGAGAAGAGAGGCAGCACACGAGTGCTTTGCGGGGCCGCGGTGGCATCGTGCTTGAAAGCACCGTCCTTCATGTCGGCCATTCTTGCGACTGTCGTGGAAAAGGGCTGGAATCTCGCGGGGTTGCTGCTGCTGTTGCTGGCGACTGCGGCACGAGGAATACAGAGGACTCGGGGCCGCGAGACCGCAGCGCGAAGGGCGTGGCGGAACATATTTAACAAGCGTCGACTCGACAGGACAGGGAGGAATATTGCCGCAAGAGGGTCTCTTTTCTTCTTTTGCTAATTCACTCAAACAAGGTTCTAGGGAGAAAGCTTCACCGCACTCTAAAGATATTGAGGATTCCACTCGACGATGTACATTCACGAAGCGGCCCCCTCGAGGGAGGAGCTAATACTAATACTAGTATGGCCGGCGCGCCGCGGCAATGAGTCCCTGGCTCATGCGCCGGAACAATCGACAGCGAGGTGACGCTGTGGGGCTCAAGGGGAGGTTCCCGGAGGGGAAGCTGTCTGCTCCATGTTGTGTCGCTCCACGCTAGGACGGATGGAGGGGTCAATGAGGTGTCTCAAAGCCGTCATTGACCCTGAAGACGGCCACTAGGGATATGCCTATGCATGGCTGCCGTCGTCGCAACATTCCCTTCCAGGCTTCTGCTGCATGTCTCAAGTCTTCTTCATCCTCGGTCGTTGCCGGGGGGTTCCAGAACTTCCAGGTTCTTGTGGGGGGAACCTGGTGCCATGGGGTCCCAGCCTTCGGGGCTATTCGGGTCGCATTGTTCCTGAACTGGGCCGTATCCAAGTCTCTAAAGATGCGAAATATCAATTCCCAGTGTCCACGGCGGGTTTGCTCAATGGGCCAAGGTCCTGAATCGCGGGGCCATCGGGGCTAAAACGCACATCCCCCGCCTTGACTCGACTGGCGCGCTTCTACACTACAGCCGCTTTTTACACTACAGGGGACATCGCGGGGGCACACAATGACACGAGACCCGGGCTGCCAGAAACGAAACGCGCGGGTCATCGGCCAAAACGCAGCGATTGAACGGACGAGATGATATCAACGGTTTCCTCTTTGCGCCTTTACTCGCGAACCATGTGCTCCTTCACATGCCAATGCAGCTCCGCCCAAGACCTTTGACACCCTATCATGTGTTCCGTCTACCTCAGCCAACAACCTGGTTCAGGACCTGTTCATGGGGGAAGTTTGTGTTTCTCCAACGGGAGACAAAATCATCACGGTTAACTATCCGAATTAGTTGCGTTGCTCGTGTGATGACCGGAGAAAGTCGAGATACTCACTGTAGGCGCCGGCGATGCGTCTTCTGCCCTCAAACGCACTCCTACCGTGCATCACACGCCAGTTGTCAAAGACTGAAAACTGATTAGCATTTGTCCCGTCTTGTTTCAAGGCAAGACATGGCACCACTCACTCAAAACCTGGCCGGGCTTCAGTTGCCACCAAAATTCAACGTCGGATCTCCGGAGAATGGCATCCCACTTGCGCGCCGCCGCATACCACGCGGTCGGCGAGACGTCGTCGGTAAACGGCACCACGCCGCGGTCGTCATTATTCCACCGCACCCGCTGCAGCGTCCGCGTCTGCGGGTCAACCTCGAGCACGGGGTACCGCTTGTCGGGAGATATCGTGATGCCTTCGTTGCCGCTCGCGTGCCAGGGCAGGCGCACCTTGGAGAGGATCTCGTACGCGGCCGGGTCTTCCTTCTGCAGGATCTGCGCCGCGTAAAAGGCGTCCACGAGGAGCGATTCGCCTCCGAGCTTGCCGTCTTCGGGTAGCTGCTGTCCCGGCGGAGCCTCGTGGGAGAGCATGTGGAAGGCTTGCAGGCCGGCCGGGTCGGTGAAGTAGGTCGTGTCCGTGTGCGCCGGGAGGGCGATGTTGGTGTAGGCCGTGTCGGCCATGGCGAGGTCCGGGACGAAGTCGTAGAAGCCGCCGTAGTGCGTCTCACGGATGAAGGCGATTCTCTCGAGCACGCGCTGTGTTGGTTCCGGGGTGTCGTAGGGGGTTCCGTCTACGAAGGCGAAGCCGTACTCGCGCTGTGGGTGTCAGTTGACCTATCATGCCCTAGTAGCAGAGGATTAGGCATGCTTACAATGAGGTTTGTCAACTTTGCGACGCCTGAGTCGTCCTTGTCGGTCATGAGGTGGTCGTACTCGACGACGGGGCGCCTTTCGCCCACGTCGGAGCCCCAGAAGTGGTAGCTTGCGTGGAAGGTCAGTGACTTGGTGTGATGTGATGGTACGAGATTGCCCCTTACTTGACTTGTTCCGGACTGCGGTGGTCATGTTGCAGGTAGTGCTTGATAAAGTGCCATGGGTAGAAGCTCTCGTGACCGTCTTGCTCCCCTAGTTGCGCATGACTGTCAAATCCATGTTTCTTTTACGAGAGTGTTAGAAGGGGAGGGGGGCTTGGGTGTTGCACCTACACGTCACCTTGATACCCTTTTCTTCCGACTTTATCTCGGAAGGTCTGATGTCTTGGCTAATCTACAGTTTCGTTCAACCAAATTGCCATTGTTAGTCGAGTTGGGGAACGGCATTTCTGGGGAGTGGGAGGGGAACGGGTTAGGTGATTTGAAGGTTGGGGGCCATGTTGCCAGCGGCAGCAGCGGCAGCAGCTAGGAGGCACGATGTGATCAAATGGAATAGGACAGACAGGGAGGGCTCACGGCGTATGTATCAAAGTTTCTTTGCGTGGTGTCTTGGTTCACGCATTTGCTGCATCGACAGTTGTCTCTGTGTGCCGGTGGGGTTGTGTCAATTCGGCCGAGATGATGGATTTCTGGTGCTGAGGCTTGCTGATGCGGTTGGCGGAAACGTACCTTAGCCAGAAATGGGGGCTGCGCGGTGGGAGAGAGTTTGTGTTAGTTGAGGTGTGTGGAAGATGGTCACGTCAAGGTGAGGACCAGCTAGTTGCGCCGGAGCCGGGAGCCGGAGCCGGAGCCGGAGTTGCGGCCAGGGGACCGGGGAAGCCGAGCGGGAAGACGGGGGACGGGAGGCGGGGAAAGAAGGCGGAGGTTGTGATAAGGTAAGGTAGGTGCGGTGGGTTGGGTCAGGTTATGACCGGGACTTACAGCGTTGATCTACGGGTTGATACGCCCGTCAGCCCTTCGAATTGCACGCCTTCGGTAACGACCTTTGCGTTGAGCTGGCGGGCGGCGGCGGTTGCGGAGAGGTGTCTACTCGCGGATCCAAAGGTGCCACCACATGTGATGCGGCGGGGTGGTGCTCCGAATGCAGAAGCGGTACGCCTAGAACGGGGGAGTGAGACCTTCACGTGTCACACATGTGGACGATGACTGTACTACATACCTCGCGGCTCGGGGTGCGATGGTTCTCCAGGGGAGCATTTTGGAGACCTACAGACGAACTAAAGGGGGAAAAGAAGCACTCTAGAGCCCAATCGGGTGGTGAGGTTCAGGTCCTGTGGGATGGAACTCTGATAACGGGCCGAGAGGAGGGTGGGAGGGAAGATGTAGGATAAGGTAAGGTAAAGTTGGAGAGAACGAACTCTGGGAAATGGGAATTTGGAACCCGGGATGATTTTGGGTGGTTTGTCTGAGAAATGCGACGGCGGCGGGATCTCGCGGGGGATCGGGAGGGGCTCTGGCCTCTGGGGAAAGCTGAGAAAAGCCGAGAACAGGCGGGATTGGTACCGCTGGAGATGCTGTGGTTTTGGCACTGACATCAGCTGATTGCCCCTCCGTACTTACCGTACCCCTGTCCACTGCTTTGTTGCCATGCCCTGAGGATGGATTATGCCTCGGTCTAGCCAGTCGATTAGGTACCCGTTGAACAAAGCCCGGGCGGCCCCAAGTGGACATTTCAACTGTGGATGGGCTGAGTTGGGGAACAGGTCCAAGAGTTCTGGCTGGAGTTCCTTATGGGAAACATATCGTGGCATCTTGTGCTGCTCCCTCGGTGGACTGGTGCTCTCTCGCGTGTCATGATGGGCTACATCATGCCATCACTTGAGCCTCCACTGGTAGAGAGACTGCCTCATGGGGAATCCCTCCATAAGGTGGTAGGATATGCAGTCGCAGCTACGGCCTGGATTGACGCTCGAGTTGATAATGTTCCATATACCATCCCGTCTAGCTAAGTACATTCTAGGCGGCAGAAATGCTCCACGATCAATTCGTCCGATGGTCCTAGTGCAGCTTGCACAGGCTCCGGCCTCAACTTCGGCCTCAACTCCGGCTCCGGCTTCCGCTCCCGAGAGGTGAGACTCGGAGGGCCGGAGCAGCCCCCATCCGGCAGCGTAACTTCTGAGGAGAGACGCCGTCCCCGGGGAAAAGCGCGTCATTCGGGCAGTGTTGGACAGATGGCCGGCCTTCAGTCCGCCGCCATGACACAACCTCGCAGACGCTCATGGGCATAGCCCAACATTTCGGCTCCCCCGATCAACGGCGTATCTTGCTTCGTCTTCCCGCCATACCACCTCCAGCGTTACCACTGCCAGACAATTTCGCCACGTCGTCAAGAGTATGCCTCGCTAGGCCCAACCGCGTTTGATCGCCCTTCGTCCAGACCGTCTTTCGAGGCCCTCTCTCACAGGTTACACGCCTTCCAAATCCCGGACAGGTGGGATTTCGCCCAGAGGGTCCAAACACCATAGCCGCCGTGACCGTTCTCCCGGGACACCTATTCCCACCTGCCTCATCGACAACCACCCGATTTTCGGGTCCTATCATCACCATTGTGGCATCCGGGTCCTGTACCCAGACCCTCTCAAGAAAAGGACAAGGAACAACAAGCGCCAGACTGCCACAATCGGCCTTCAGGTCAACCTCCTTACCCGTTCTGGCCATGTCTTGAGACGTTGCAGGGTGCAGATTGCAGCAGACCCTCATGGCCGTCCACTCACATGACCTAGACGGCGCCGACAGAACGGTAAATTGGAAATTCTTCCTCCTTTCTTTGCTGTGTTGTCTCCTGCAGGTTGGCGTTTGCTGCTGTTGGAGCGGCGTTGGGGATTTGTAAAGTGTTCGCGCGTAGACGGCTCATGTGATTGGTCGCGCTTGGCGACGACGAGGACCGAACGTCGAAACCCCCCCGTCATCGCGGCAGAGCATGTTCTGCGGTTGGTTCAATTGTGAGTTCTAACCCACGGCGTCTTTTAGTTTGCTTGTCTTGGCTGTTGTAGACGAGGCACTGATATACCGCGATGTCCTCTACATGTATGTTCCGGCCGAGTGGCTTTTCCTTGAGTTGATGGTCTCTGTCTTGGTTGGATTCCCTTTGTTATTACGATCTGTCTACCATTCTACATCTCTTTGATTCTCTACAACTGCTCTCTTTTGGGAATCCTCTTATAATCTTTGCATAAACAACATGGCCTCGGTGGGAAGCTGGCGGAGGCTATGCATAATAACTTGGCTTCTCTTCATCGAAACATGCGTCTCCGGACTGCAGATAACACCCCTATCGCTACCAACATCAAACTCCCATAATATTGACAACCAACTTACACCAAAATCAACATTGCGAGCCGACGCTAGCTGTCCCGTCAAAGGCTACACAGCCTGCGGCAGCGGCATGGCAGACTACTTTTGCTGTCCCAGCGAAACGACATGCATGGTGCTCGCGGAGAAAACCACCGCCCTGTGCTGTCCAAAGGGGTCTTCGTGCGAGACCATTTCGCCCATCACCTGCGACGTTACCTTACAAGACGTAGTCAAGAACCCGACGAGCCCGATCCATACCACTAGACTGAAAGAGTCTCTGCCGCAGTGCGGAAACAAGTGTTGTCCCTTTGGGTACACATGTCGAGGCGACTCCGCCTGCGTCTTGGACGACAGTCAGGAGGGGGAGGGGTCTCAAACTTCCAGCACGTCAGTCTCATCCACAAAGACGAGGACAAGGACTGTGACGAGCGCGACGCCGACGACGGCTACCCAGGCAGCGACGACGACGACAGTGATCGAGACACTTCCAGCTGCCTCGTCGACACCATCCGCAAACCCAGGCGACGACCTCCCTACCCCATCAGCAGTAACATCCCCCTCAGAAACCGCCCCCGCCGCCGCCGCAGCCGCCTCCCCGAGAAACTCAACATCAGGCGGCATCATCGCAGGCACCACCGTCGCAGCCATCGCCTCGGTAGCAGGCCTAACCTGCCTCCTCTGGTTCAAGAGACGCTCCATCTCAGAAAGCGTCGGCTCCGCAAAATTCCCCCGCCCCTGGCAACAACTACGCCAAAACGGCTCGGACCAGGACGTCTCGTCGCTGCCGCGGTACAACTCCCCGCCGCCGGCGTACGCCGTGGAGATGAAGCCGCCGCTGGCGAAGCCGTACACGTGGAAACACTACAGCCCGGACTCCTTTGGTCGCGACCGCTACGACAGCCGTCGCTACAACGACCAAGACGACGGCAGCGTTCCCGTCCCCGTTTCTGTTGCGCTTGCTCTCGCTGTCGAGCTGCCCGCCACGCCGGTTTCTTTTAGTCAGTGGCGTGTTCGGGAGGAAGGGGAGACGACGAGGCCGAGGTCTCACTATGAACCATACCGGCGTCCTTCATGATTGGAGATGTCTTTCTTCAGGAGGGCTTTGTTCCTGTCTTGGGCGATTCGGTTTCTGCTTTTTGATAGACTAAGAATTTGCTCTACCGATTTTCTTTGTGTTGAAATGCTTGCGCTTGTCGAGCAAACAACCTGTTACGACAGATATGAGACACGTTTTCTGTACACTACTAGGAGATATGGGGGGAGAAAATCTAGAATGGGATCACGAATTCATCTGCCTACGAGTATGGACCAAAGCCTTCTCGCGTCTTTGATGCAGTGTGTTGATATAGCAGGGTCCACCATGAGATTGATTTAATGCCCTTGATGTTATATCCGTCTTAGGAGAGACTGAAGTAGCCCAACCAGCCTGCTAAAACCCAAAGTGTACAACTGCAGTCATGTCGAACACCTCAAAATCGTAGATTCAACACTAGCTCAAAACGTAGTAGAGAAGGGCAACCTATTTCCCCCTTTCAAAATGCCTCGGCCGACGACGGACAGGGTCATCCACGACTACACCGCAAAGATCCTCCCCGCGACAATGATCCTCACCCTCGTAATCTTCACCGTCGTCGTCCTAGTCTACAGCATTGGTGAAAAGGCCGCCGTGCCCCGGGACGCCGCCGTCGCTTTCGCCGGCATCGTCTTTGGCTTCTCAGGGTTGTGGCTGTTGGGACACCTCGTCATGTACTGCCGCGGCGCGCAGGCCGTCTCGCCTCCGCCTCTGGCTTTGCCTCTACCTCTAACGGGAATTGCGACTGGGATCGGCGACACAGCGATGGCTGTCCCTCAGGTTCCGCGGGCGGCTGTTGAAGTGGTTGTGCCTCCCACGGTCCATCTCCACAACCACCAGCAACAGCAGCATCAACGGGTTTATCAGCCGCCGCAAGGTTTCCCCCCTCAACTTCAACCTCACTCACAACCGCAGGATCAGTCTCACCGGCAGGTACTACCACCGCAGCAAAAAAAGCAGCACCAGCAACAGCGGGACCAGCAACAGCACAAACCACAACAGCGCGAGCAACAGCAACACAGGGGTCAGGAGCGAGAGCAACAAGCAGAAGCCGAAGGGCCGATACAATTAGGCCGGGAGGAACAGAGAGATCATGAGTCCCGTCGGAGACTAACAGACCATGAACCATACATCAAAGAGCCGCCTTATCCCGAGTCCCCCCCTGGAGCATATCGAGGGGGGTCGCAGGAAGAACCCAAGAAGCCAGCGCAGCAACAAAAAGATCAGCGGAGGCGACAGCAGGTAGAGCAGCAGCAGCCGAAGCAAGGACGTGAGATCTCCGGGCCTCTCGAGAACGTATGGCAGAAACGACCAAGCGCCCCCGAGAACCAGCCTGCTCCCGTAACGGTCCCCGGCCCTGTCCAGCAAAGACAGCAGCCAAAGGGACCCAGGACTATGACGGGGAAACCACCCGAACCTCCTGAGCGCGTATCCAGCCTTCAGAAGTCGTTACCCGGAACGCCGTCCCGAAGACATCGCAGCTCGAGCTTGAGTAGCTCGCGGGTTAACCGGCCTGGCCAGCTATCGAGGGGAGCATCGAATATTCCAAGACCTTCTCGGGGTGGACGTCCAGAAGACACTCCCAGCGCTCCTTATGAACGAGGTCGTCCACGGGTAGATCGCAGTCGTCCAGTCCAAAACCAAGATATCGAACCAGAACCTAGGTCTGCTTCGATTAGATCGACAAGCTTGGACTCTGCTACGCGGGCATCTTTGAAGGTGAATGCGGCCCCTGAAACTTTTGAGAGTCCCTGGAGGGCTGACTCTGACCAGCCCGCCCCCTTGAACATCGCGAAAGAGTCACCATCCAACCTTGGGAGGCCGATTGAAGAACCAAGAGTCATCAGTGGCCACGCCTCTCTATCAAGTCGACGATCCGACCAGCTTGAATCTGGCCCCCGGAGTCGAGGAGCGCAAGGCCAGACCGTTGCCAAAAACCGGGCACCAACTATTCGCGAGGTGCCTCCAACGCCACCGAACGAGTTCGCAGCTCCCGTTCAGCCCGCTCAAGACGAGGTACGTGATCAACCCGTCCCTTCTTCTGTACCCTCTTCTTCATCTTGGTCGCCTTCTCTCCCCCCTTCTCTTACCCCGCCAGCCCGCAGACCTCCTCCGTTGAATTTTGACGACATGGGCATCATCCCGACACGCGAATCGACAGTACGTGAGGACATCTGCCAATCTATGTCCGACCTTGGTAAATCCATACGTCGTTCTTTCACTAATTCTCGTGCCAGCAATTCTGATAGCCGTGGGAAGCCTCGTAGTATCATGACGGGCTTTCAGACCAATGTCGTCTTCATGCCAGACTACAACTTTACGGCCACTGAGCTTCTTAATCCCGTATGTCACGAGAATGGAAGTTTTCCTTTCCTGGGGTATTGTGAGGGAGACGGAGAAAAGGTTGCATCTGGGGAGGAGCTTGAGGACAGAGGTGATGTAGTTATGGTCTGCAGTTCGGATGACGCGGGGCAGTGGCTTATCAAGCTTGTAGAGCTGGCCGAATCATCTAATGAGGCCGAGGGTGATATTTTGGAATAGACGTGTTTCGTAGGAGAGTTTTTTATCTATAGATCTTGTTCAAATGGAGGATGGACACGCCCTTCAATTTCTGGGCTACCATATCTTGAATCCTTGATGAGTGTTCATGCTGGGTCAGATGTTCCGTAGCTCTTCCCCGCATCGTTACCAGTCTCCGTCCGAGTTGATTCAATTAAAGGAGGGATTAACTACATAGTAAGTGTTCAGTTGTTGGAGGTTTAAGTTGCCAGCTGTGAGTGAGGGGTAGCCGGAGCTCCAGGATGAAGCTCAGAGCATCACACCACATTGGGTTCCGTCGACCTATCAAGACTCGAAGTCCAAAAGATTTCCAAATACAATTGCATGGCATGCATGGAGCATGCACCAGACAAACCAGAAGACGGAGAAGTGTTCGGAGACCACGGAATGACTAATCTGTGACGTAAAAGCTACCTGAGGGAGCATATCGCAGAACTCAACCTTGGAAAGAGTACGCGACTGTTGTGAACATCACTTGGATGAACGCTTAACATGGCAGAAGCCCAGGCATCAAACGAGTCATCATGGACCGATACGATCTACAACCTCAACCGCGGGGACGTTGACGGCGAGCGCGAGCGCCTGGCTGACAACCACTTCAAAGTCTGGCTGCCCCTCACCGTCGACCTCCTCCCGCCGCACATCCTCTCATCTCTCGAACCAGCAAACCCAGATCGAGCCCCTCGAATCGCAGACGTGGCAACGGGAAGCGGCGTCTGGCTGACATCTCTCGCCCAGCTCGTGCCACAAGACTCGGAGCTCTACGGCTTTGATCTTGACGGGCTCAAAATGCCCCAGTCGCATAGATCAGGAGTATCGTTTAACTTCGTGGAGCACGACGTTCTCAAGCCGTTTTCGGCGGAGTTCAGGGGCACGTTCGACCTTGTCCATGTAAGACTACTCGCACTGGGGCTGAAGAAGGATGATTGGGACGTCGCTGTGAGCAACATGCGCGAGTTGCTGGTGCCGGGCGGGTGGCTTCTCTGGGAGGACATGAGTGACCTACTCATCAGGTTCTATCCGCTGAGCAGGGCGTATGAAGAGTTCTGGTGGGTTACTATGCAGCACGACGCGAAGGTCGGGAGGGATAGACTGTGAGTAGTTGCAATGCCGTTGCCTTGCTTTACCCCTTTTTCGCCTCCAGTCACGAGAAGCTCGCTGCTCACACTTCCGATAGAATGCCGATGGGCCTGCTCAAGAAGCTTCGAAAGCTTGGGTTTCAGAACTGCGAGCAAGAGATCTTCAACTCATGGGCCGCAGATGATTCGGTTCGAGATGAAGCTACCTCGGGGATCATGCGTCTTATTCGACCTTCGCTGACGTCCATAGTTGAAGACGGAGGAGAGGAGACGGTCAAGACGATGGAGGATGTCACTCGAATCGAGGCAGAATTGAAGCGTGATGTGGAGGAAAAGGGGTGTCGAGTTGGCTTTGATTTCGTGTGGAATTGGGGGCAGCGAGCTTGATAAGGCTGATCCTACCCTCCGTTCACTTCTCAAAGATAGGCTGCTCCTTCATCTCGTATCTACGGTCAACCCATCTTTGTTACGCTTCAATGAAACCAGAGTCCACCCAGCGGTCTCCTCGTCGCGAACGCTGAGGGCTTCGTCACCTAAAGCGCTCATCTCTACAGTGCCTTGCGTAGCGAGCGATTGGCGAAGGCTCCGTGGCCCGATATAGACGCCGTGCTTACCCTGCTCGGCGATTCCGGTTCCTGAGCTGGAGACCGGCGCTCAGTGACTCTCGACGATTATCACCAAAAGTTTTGCCTTCGGATGACGTTGTCCCCAAGTTATGCTGTGTAGACCGGTCAAAGACCGAGTACAGGAAGTTTGATCGCTGGTGCAGTAGCAAGATATACATCCAGACGACCAGTCGTTGACAGACAGCAGATCAATACAAACCGGCTTCATCTTCCAGCAGGAGTCTGTTCAACGCTCAGAAAGGGATGATATGATACTTTTCACCTCGCCGTTCAGGTTACCCCTGAAAGCGCAGGCTCTGACGTCTCCGGTGGCGATTGGCACATCTTCTTGCTATCAATGTACTCTGTGTACAACTAAAGCACAGCTGAAGGCAATTTCAGCCACAAGCAGACCTTCTCTACGCGCTTCCTCAATGACATTAGTGTATTAATCAAGGTATATACGGAGAGCGATGATGATTCTAGGCTGGTACCAAGGTCCCAGGGTCGAAAGACATGCTGATTGATTGTAAGAAAGAGCCCAGGGCTCTTAATATAGCAGCTCGGCCGTAGTGCCGCCTCTCAAGAGGCCTGATTGACAGGTCTCTTGCTCCAAGTTCTGCATTGCTCAGAATCTCGACCGCGGTTCGAACCATAATGTGTCAGGACTTTTAGGAAAAAACTTCGGGCCCGGGAGAAAGCGGCGACGGCAACAGATATCACAATCTGAGTTCCGCGGTCCGGCAGGTTCGGGTTTCAAACCGGCCTTCATCACAAAAACAATGCAACAGCCCGCTCGGAAGTACGATACACCCCTCTTGGCAACTAGACATCTCCGGGGGGCCGGTGATTGAGTAGCTCATAAAACACAGTGCGTGACGAGGACCATATGGGCTTGCCGCGCCGGATTACTTCCCATGGACAAGAGTCGAGTCGCACGTCCCCTTTCCATCAGTTTAAACTTCCCACCGTGCCCCTTTAGCTAGCACTTCAAATTACTGACTGCAAGTCACAATATGCTCTCACAACTTACCAGCCATACAATAGCTAGAGAGAGCGCCTAGAGGAGGTGGGAGGCAGAAAAAAACCGCGCAACCCGGAAAGCGTCAGTGCAAACCCTCACCAGTCCGAGAGCCCGCAAATGACAACAAGACATAGCTGGAGGTCATTGCTTTCTTCCCGAGTCTCGCGGATAACGAAGGATTGGGAAGTGGGAAACTCGGACCTCCCGGACACCCGTCGAAATGCCAACCGCACCAGCGCATGAGTTGAAAGGCGTCAGTGCCGGTGAAGTCTTTGCATGACAAGAGCGGCCGTGAGCGGTCGCGATCATTGCGCTGTTCATCTCCCGGCTGGACCATCACAATGACAGAATATTGCCCCCCTCTGACTGTGTGCGTGTACGCGTCCGAGGTTCTCACGGTCTGGGCGGCATCGCGGGCGTGGTGAGAGCGGGCAATGGTTGCCGGCGGGAAGATGCCAGCCCGAGGTAGCGACTTGTCAGACATGCTCAAGGTCTGGACTTGGAAGATACCTGTGCTGCGAGTCTGGCGCCACAGCGGTCGTGTCATACGGAGAAGGAAGAGACGAATTGTGATAACGTACAAGCACGGAGGACGTCAGTGAGCCTCATGGAGGGCAATATCCGAAGTTTGGTAATCGTCATGAGGCTGAATGATGGACGACATCGGGGTTTGAGAAAAGAGCCTCTTTACAAGGCCCCAAGTGCAAAGAGCCCGTAGGGATCGTTGCCAGCGACAAAAGCCACAGCATCAGATACTGGACCATCTTCAATCTTTGAACGTTCACATTGTCGCAAGGCTGAACCCCGTGGCTGGATCCCAATGTTCATCATCGGCAAGCGCTTGTCCATACCTCAGGACGATGCGGGAGGCAGGCCACGGCTGTTTCGAAATTCGAATCCAAGGACCCGACCCATCGGAGTGGTGGCTTGTTTGAGATCTTCTCCACTGATCGGAAGGATGCGAAAGCCACGAGTAGGCCCTTGTCGGAGGCGAACGCCTTTCCCACGGTGAGATGAGGCCATCGCGATGCGTTGTTTCTTCACCACGAGGCCTAATGCTTTCCAACCCACCTTTCGCTCTCAGACGAAAAGCCACATCTAGCAAAAGGGCCACAACGATGTTCGTGAAACTCGCTTCCCGATCTCTCCCATCTCCGCGGGCGCCGAAAGAGACCACTCGCACCCGTCCGTCGATTCGGCGCCCGCTTGCCTGAACTGATCTCCCGGATCCGACTCTCATCCTTCCCAGGAATTATCAGCAAGCCGTAAGCTATCCCCCATCTCTTCATTTGCTCGGACGACAGCCAACTAGAAGGGGCTCGTTCCTTAGACAGCTCCCCCTTCCCATCCACGCCGCGCCACGATGGGCAGAAGGCCGTCTCTCTCCTCTCGTGGCGCGGCGTCTTTGCGCGCGCTAACAAGCCGCCTTGTGGGCATGGCAATCTGGCAGCCTTGAGAGGTGCCATCCCAACTTTTGATTAAACACGGTGGCTAGCGGTAGTGCTCGGCCGCAAAAGGGGAGCACGAGGGGTGTAGACTTGGCTAAAGTACGAAAGGAGAATGAGGGAGCCCGGACTTACACTGGGCTCGGACCCGGAGGCGTGGGCTGGTGACGGGGACGGCCTCTAGACGGTGAGGACCGGTTCGCTACTACACAATCGTTCCTCATCTCCACGGCGTGCGTGCTCTCTGGTTCAAATCTCCGCCCCCGTAATCCGTCCAACGCCTGTGCAGGAATGAGTGACTGGTAGAGGACTGCAAAATCCCGTTTCGAGTCAGGCGTCACTCGAGGCCTCCTTTTACCCAGATTCCGGTGTTCTGGGAACGAGAAATCGGAAAAAGTGGAAGCCAAACTGCCATGTCTCGCACGAGCACATCAAAGGATCACGGGCACAAGGTCCCCGTGTTGCCCTGCTCCCAGCCATCGGGTCACGCAAGACTCCCAGCCCTGCCAGCCACGACATGTGGTCGAAGAGGTCATCCAAAGTTGAACGAGACATAGAGAAGAATCGCGACAAATGCAGGGTTCTGGCCCGACGACCCAACCAAGTCGCGACGACGGATTCGAACGCGTAGAAGGAAAGAAGGCTTTTAGCTAGAAGAGCCACCACTACCTGTTTTGCCCACTGGGCAGAGAGGCTGGCTGGGAGACCAAAGGCTTTAGCTTGGGGTTGCTTCTGCGTGCCCCGCAACCAGCAATTTAGAGCTTTCCGAGCCGCCGGATAGGAGCAACGGGCGAGCAGCAGAAAAGGGGAGAAAAAAAGTGTACGGACGGTAGAGAAAGCTCCAAGTTGTTTGGCTGAACCAAACCTGGGGGCGTGATGGCGCTGAGCTGGGAAGCTCTGGACGCTTGCGTCGCACAATCTTTTTGGCGGCGGCTGGTGACTTTTTTTTTTCGATCTCTCTGAGAGTACTTGGCTATCTCTCGCTCTTCGTGACCACGCTTTCCAGAGTGCGCCAGCGTCGCAAATGGTGACGGGCGTGAAGCTAGCGGGCTCTTAGCCTCCCGTCCTGGTGTACAGATGAGCATGCTAAGGCACAGTACACGCACTTAAGGGCATGTACCCCATCTCCCATGGCTTCATGAGGAGCCTGTTGGCTGGCGGTCGCAATGGAGCTAAGAGGTAGCCGGTCTCTGTGGCGCGGGTGCGTTGATGCGTGACCGTTGGCACATAATGCCGCAAGCGTCTTGAGTGTGAGGTAGGAAAAGGGGCACCGAAAGGAGAGGGCGAGAGATCGGGGACGGGACGGGGGGATCCACTAATCCTGCTTGGTTCGGCGGTTGGCCGGTACGGGTGCGGAGGACGGTGCGGACGCTGATAGGTGCAAGTGGACGAGCCGGAGGGGTGGAGGAGCACGAGGGGGAAAAGGTGCAAACTGGCCTATCCCGTTGGCCGGTGCGACTCTACGCCGCCGTGGGGGGGGGGGGGGGGGGGGGGAGCGGGGGAGGGGGGGGGGGGGGGGGGGGGGGGGGGGGAGGGGGGGGGGGAGGGGGGCAGGGGGGGGGCGGGGGCGGCGTCGGGGGGGGGGGGGGGGGGGGGGGGGGGCGAGAGAACCTGAAGACGATCTTAATGGGCACGCATTAAGTTTCCCTTCTCAGGGAAGGTGAAGCAGGTAGGTCTGGGGAACGGGTGGGAGAAAGGCGGCTGTTGGCTCGTTACGGTTGCAACCGAATGCATACCCCTTTTTAAACGATGTATGCGTGACTTTGCATCCATCCCCTTATTTCTTTTCTTTTTCTTGCCCTTTTGCCTGTCTACCTACCTTCTTTGGGCTGTGGAGGCGTGGGCGACTTTTCTGACCGTTTGCAGGGGAGCTGAAGGAGATGCAGGTCCGGATGGGGATACAGAGGCCGACGTGCTGGAAGGGGGGAGCAAAGGGGGCCAAGACTTGGAGGCTCAAGGGCTTGGAGGGAGAGGCGTTCCGTTCTGCTGCGCGAGACCTGATCTGACAATGACATGGTGCTGTAAGGTACATTTCGTCCTAAGCTCTGATAGTCCAGTCATTGCACAGCGTCGGTGGATGTGCGGATCATGGATGCGATGCAATGCAAGGCTGAGATGATAACGAAGACGACGACTCCGTACGACGGGACGGCAATGAGATGTGATGCGAGGGTAGCGAGAGGGAAAAGCCGAAGGGGCCCTGCTCGTTGGGAAATGATTGGTGGCTCCCCCGGTGGGCGAGTCTATGTGAGGCAGACGTCGACATTGGCCGATGCTATCCCGCATCTTTCGATTGTGAAAGAGAGCATGCCCTCTTTGTCTCCAACGTCTCCATTCAGCACGGTTACATTTGACAGCTTTCTCCACGAAGAACTGCACAAACAACCCTTGAAGGGATGAGGGGGACCTCGGCCGAGTTCGTATGATGGGGCGTCCGAGAGTCAAGTCAACCCAAAATCAAATCAAACGAAACATTGAGCAAGACAGCAGACTGTGTGGGCATCACTCAGAAAGGTCGTGTCATTATTCGGGGTCGGCGGGAAGGGGGAAAAAAAGTTTCCTTGTTCCTGCAATGTCGTGCAGATGGGTGGATGGGACCTCGCTGCTCGGCTTCTCCATCACCGTTGAACAGGTCCACCAAAGTCGAGTTACTCTTTTGAGCCATCGTGATAGATAGAGTCGAACGACGAAAAGATGAAGATGAAACAGATGTCGACTGGGGTATTCCGAAGATGGGGAGGGGGAAAACGACTGGGAGTTCTAAATGAGTGGAGGGCGGGTGCAGCGTGCATGGCGCGTCCTGCAGGTACAGGCTCGGCCAAGTACGGTTGCGACGCTGCTCTTGATGCTGTAGACTATCCGTACGGATATAGAGTACGAATATAGCTTGGCGATTCGAAACCTGTCAATCTGTGTGTGTGCCACTCTCCCGCGTCTGTAGTGCCAAGTGCTTGTCATCCGACGTCTGCTGGATGACTGATCAGTTTCTTGATATATCCATTACCACCATGCCATCCCGCCCACGGTCAACCCGGCCAATGTTCGTGTCGCGGGGGCCACAAACCACCAGCAGAATCGGAGATGGGGGCGCGGGAAGACCAAGAGACGAACGGAAGAGAATACATGCATAGATCCAGGGGTCCCATCCTACGCGGCTGACCTGACTTTGAACATGTCTTGGACCCCACAATGCAATGCAGAGTATAATTCCTCCAGTGTTGAGCTGCCTCTCCCCATGTGGACTGCTCAACCTGCGACGCCAGAACCCCAGTCCACCTAGCTCTGTTCAGAGAGCAAAGCGAAATGAGCAGACACACCAGGGGAAGCACACCGCCAAGCATACCTGCCACCCATTGCCCTCTTGACCTTGACCTTTCCAGGCTTCAGCCACTCCCAGAGCTTTCTTACTACGGAAGACGGAGGAAATCGTAGATCTGCAAGTCGGTGAGCGACACGAAGCGAGAGGCACTGTATGGAGATCTCATGGTCCCCCCCTGGTCCCCTAATCCCCTGTCGTTCCTGGGTTCGTCCGCCCGAGGTCTTCTTAGCCTTCTTCACTGTGTGGGCTCCTCTGGATGGATACACAGTAAGCTCTCTCTCTCTTCTTCCTTGTCGCTCTTGTTCTTTTCGCTCTCCACACGGGCGCAAGGATAGGGGACTCATGTATCTGCGGTAACGACGTTTTGACGGCTGATGGAAAAAGAAATGGCGAGGAAATCGGGGGGCACGACAAGGGGAAGCTGATTTTTTTCTTCCTTTCTTTGGGGGCAGGCAATGAACAACGACATGGGAGGGGTGTGCTATACGGAGAGACTGTACTCAGCATGGAACGGGAAGAAACGCAAATGGTAGTGTAGACGCGTCGGAAATGTGATCCGTTGACGTTTACATTCAAGCTCTCGAGAAAGACTCTGCAGAATTGCAGTGCAGACCGCTCATGTTGGGGGGCCCCGTTCCTTGTTGCCAGGTACCGGACAGAGGCTCGTAGCAATCGGTGTAAGCCCGTTGGCTGAAGCCTCACCGAGAACCAATACTCGAGTCTCCTCTCTCTTCCCCAGAGATGTTGAAAGTCTCACCCTCACAGCTCGCACACAGACAAAGGACGCAAGGGGCGCATACGGGATACGGATACACACGCGCACATACAATCGCCGCTAGAGATGCACAACACCCGCAGGCAAGGCTCACTGACTCTGGGTTGCCCAGTGCTGCGATGACGGGATGCCAAACGAAACGAACACTGGTCCGTGTTTTGTCCTTGACTCGGGTTTGGGTTCCCTGGGTCCTCTTCGACTCTGAACTCTGACTAAGGATCTGTACGACCAGAGGAGCAAAACGCGACAACGAAGTAGACAGATCACCGTGAAATTCCCCATGATGAAGAGAGGGTCTTGTTAGTAGTTCCACTGGGTCAAAGCGCGAAAGAATTGCAGCTTGCCTTGCCTTGCCTTGCCTTGCGTTACGCAGTACACAGAGAGATCAACAGCCGCGACATCCCGACGACGATGATATGACAAGTCAGGGTCTTTTGGAGGGGTGAGGGTTCTCTCGCCTTGCATCGCACGGCAAAGTACGCCATCACACTCGGACTCATGAACATCGCAATGTTAAAGAATCGCGGGGAGGCGGCGGTGAAGAATGGTGGCAATGGCACGGGGGACGGGATCAACGGAGCCACACCACACCCAGAGCCACACTAGGCTGGGATCATGAGCGATGGATATCTGCCATCCCCAGGGTTTCCGAATGGAACCTCATTTCACAGCTCCCACTGGTGTTGAGAACTTGGAGCTTGGACAGAGAGAGGGAAACGAACACCCCCAGCTCCGCCCGCGGATCGGAATCTACCTCGCACGACGCCAAGACGCGTTCGCAATCTCCAGACGGCGAAGATAGTGCCTTCATCCCGAGGTTTCCATTACTTGGTGGTGAGGCTCTTTTTTCTGGTTACGCCGCTAGAGTTCGTACGATATATTCTATCGTCGACTAGCTAGAAAGTCTAGCAGGCTTCTAGCCTAATTCACCCACAACGAGAGATTGCGGCGAAACGGCCCGTGGGCTTTTTCAGACGAGTAGCCTCGTAGCCTGTAGGTAGCTTTCGCGGTGGTTCAAATTTCTGCAGTATTCCTCTTTGGGAATCGCGTGATTGAAGGGTGCAGTATTCTTGTGGTGCTTGTTCTCCCGGGAAGCCCCCAGCACCAAGAGCTGATATAATCTGATTAGCTCGAACGGGGGACCTTGTTGGTGATTTTGATTCTTGCTGCTTCAGATTGATTGCGTAGATAGGATGTGGGGTTGGCCCGAAGCTAGGGATTCAGGAATAGGATTTCCTGCGGCCCTAGTTAAATTCGCGGGCAAACCGAGGGAAGGCCAAGAGCTTTCAGTCAAGACTCGTGTGGTTCTGCTTGGCGACGCTTCTTTTTGATTGAGTTTGTTTGAGTTTCGCTGCTTCTTCTTCATCAGTCATGTTGCAATTGACTTTTTTTGTTCAGGAAGCACCGGAAATGGCAAGAACACAAAAGCACACTGACGGCTGAGTGTCTATACATCTATATTATCGCGAGCCTCGGCGCGGCTGGAGTCTTTGTCTGCCCAAATTTGCGAGGCCAAAGACTCGAGTCGTGAATCTCCCACCTCGGGCGGAGGGGTGTAAGTGAGCGAGTACCTACACAGTATGCGAGTGCTTCTGTTTATGTAATCCAACGAGGGACAAGCGCAGCGTCGTATCTGCAGATTGCAAATCTTCCAAAGAAAGATCGCCAAACTGTTTGAGATACATTTCGAAAGCTTAAACTCCGCATGACTTTGTTCGGTGTCGCCTATCAAAACGTCAGTCACCAAGACACACCCCTTCCCTTCCATGGGTGATGGCATCATCATAAATCGCCCAACGCTGTTCGTTGGCCCCCCCCTCCGCGTCCGTCCCGCTCGCATAATGAACGCAAACGGAAAACACGGTCAATTCAGTCACTGGTTGGTCTCGGTTCTATTTTGGTGACACAAGGGAATGCCAGGACAAAGGTAGAGACCGTGGTGGCCGGAGCTGCTCTGCGATTGATTAAACGAAAGATGGGAAACGAATTTCCCTTGGGCCGGAGCCTATTCTTCACAGCTGGGATCGTCCTTGGTGGTTGTCACAGTGCTCAGGAGCTCAACTATCATCCTGGAAGCAACAATCAAGAAGCCAACAGGCAAGTCCCCGGATTCACTACTTTAGCGGTAGTTTGCTCG